TCCCCAAAAATTATTGTAAAATAAATTATAGTATTTACTATTTTTGAGCCGACGAACCTCGAACTCTAGGGTTTTACTTCTTTCCGTCTCGAATAGATTTTTCTTCGTCGCTCTTCGATTATCTACAATAAGACAATCATTTGGGGTTCAGATTCGAATTCTCTCTGAGAGGCAATGAGAGTTCTCAAACGTGAAAATCGCATAGGAATCCTAATCATCCAAAACCCTTCCAGGCTGAATTTGAACGAAAACGAGGTCATTTTCTTGGTTGCCAAAATAGCTTCTCCAAGCACCTTTCGCAAATTAATGGCAGAACAAAAAGGAAGCAATAGCTATACAATAAAAAAATACAAACAATTTTTAAATTGAATTAAATTACAAGAAAATCAGAACAAGTTGCGCAATTTACCATGGGCACCCGGTTTGCATATGCATGAACCAGTCACTGTATCACACCTTTCGACGAATTTCAGGTCGCAATCACACTTCTGGGAACAATTCGGACCGAATCTCATCGAGTCGCAAGTTTGCTCGCATTGCTCGCCCTAAAGAAAAAAAGACATGCAAATAAATGTTGCAGAATAGTACGGTGCCGCGGTACGTCTAGACTCCGTAATCTTCTACGCCTTATCCCTCTATATGGACCTTTGGTCCGCGTGTCTCCGTTCGGGGGCAAAGTGCTAGCGTGCACCGAGGTACCTCCGTCCTGCATGTTTGCTTGCAGTCGGCCCCGAACATCCCTTCCTGGCACGGAAGGGAACAATCTTCTCCTTCCCAGCCTAAGAGCAAGAGCGAAGTTCAGCTTTCTCCTCTTCTGAGATTTCCTAAAGGTCGAGGTTTGCTTGGATGTGGGGGAGTGTCTGTGTGGGTGACTGACTGACTGACTGACTGACGCTAATTCTAATCATGTTCTATAAGGGTTAGAAATCTGAAACTTGGTACACATCTACCTTTCGAGATTCAGAGTTCAGAAAAAATCCAACTTTGGAGGTGCATGCCCTGGGGGTACAAATTTTTGGGGAACCGTTTTTCTTAAATTTTTTTTGCGACAGATGAGGATGACATTCAGAGAATCTATAGGATATAGGTTCGGTGGTGTAGTGGTAGTTTATCTAACTGGCAATCCGTAGGTCCGGGTTCAATTCCCTATAAAGCCTTGGCTTTCTTTCGACTTTTTTGCCTTCCATGTCCCGTTACTCATTCCCCCTCCATAACATTATTTTTGCTTGAGTAAAACGGAAAGACAGGGAAAGCTGAAACTAGGCATAGACGTGCCTACCGAGACGATGAGTTCAGGAAAAATGAAAAATTTTAGATCCATGCCCTAGGGGCATATTTTTTATGAGCAGCCGATTTTAAGTATGTTTTTGTCATAGCGTATTGAGTTAGTGTGAAAAGATGAAAGTAGGTCCATAACTACCTATTGGGATGCTGCAGAAAACTTTAGACTTTGGAAGTAAATGCCCAAATTTCAAAGGGAGATATTTTCAACTAATTTTTTTGCATCAGTTAAACTGACGAACATGGAAAGCTGAAACTTTGCATGACTGTGACTACTGAGACAAGGAGTTAAATAAAAAAAAAGTCTCGATACATCCCCTGGGAGAATTTTTTCGAGGGGCGATGTTTAAAAAAAAAATTTTCGAGACGAATTGGATAGAAATGGAAAGGTGAAACTTAGCATACGTATAAGTGACATGGTATTATTGAGCTGAGGGAGTATTCAGCTTTCATGGTGCATACCCTCCGGGCATAGCGTTAGGGTGGGTTGGCTTTTCCAAACATGTTTTTTCAACAGCGAAGAGGGCAAACATATAATATTGAAACGTTGTGGGCATGTAGTTCACTAAGGATAGATTTCGGTAGGAAAAAAATGGTACGTTTCGGTTAAAACGGCTCAGGGCACATATTTTGCAAAAGGCGTATTTTCACGAATTTTCTGATCCAGCAAAACAGAGGGCGCAAGAAAGTTGAAAAACTTAGCAAATAAGTACCGGATAGATAGCTGCGTAAAGAAAAAATTCCACTTTTCTAATATTTATAGACGATCGTGACTGACTGACGCTAATTCAAAAAGGGGAAACGTATGAGGCTGAAACTGGGTGGCATGGAGTGTCCATTTCAGAAGAAAAAATTTTTTTTCGCTAAAACCCATCAAGGCTCTTTTTTTTAAGTCCCATTTTCATGAATATTTTTTTTATCTAACGAAACAGATACTGAAAATGTAAACTTTCCTCAGAAGTTCCTGTTTAATGGCTGAATACAGGAAAAATCCTACTTTTGAAATATGTAACCGTAGCGTCGATTATTGGAGGGAAGTATTTCAAATTGAATTCTCCTCCCTTACAAAAAGGGACACATGAAAAGATTTCAAGTTAGGCACACTAGAAATCAGAGAAGTAATGATTTTGATAAAAATCAAGACTTTCAACCCAATATGTAACGTATTTCAATAGGGACGTACTTTAAATACATGTTTCCCATTTCGCAAAAAATGAATGAATTAGTCACTATCCAAGGTAATGGAGCGCCGAAGGCGCGACCATAGCGAATTTGTTTGCCCATATAATAATAATGTTAATATACCAATCCTACTCGATCTTCTCGAGCCGTCTCAGGCTTCATCGTGCGAATTCAGATTCAACTTAGAGGAGAAATTTACGAATTTCAAAACCTAAGGATCGTGCGCTCCATCCTACCTGGTTCACAGATGCATTTTCCGTCTTCGTGTGAACAGGTGGCATTGTTTTTGCAGTTGCATTTCAAGGCGCAGTTCTTGCCATATCTTCCCTGTGTGCACTTCCCTCCGCAAAGCGGACCTCTGTATCCTGCAAAAATCAGGAAGAAGGAAAACATAAATAACACGAAATGAAATCCATATGGAGAATGAACGGAACGAAACATTTCTCGTGGACTCACCTGGACGACAGGTACAACTCCCATCCATGTGATCGCAGGTGGCGTTATTTATGCACGGACACACGCTCTTGCAATTTCTTCCAAAAGTGTTATTTGCACAAGGACTGGAGCACCAGCGGTCGAACCACCCAGGCTTGCACTCACACTCGCCGGTCCACGGGTGGCAAGCCTCGGTGTTGTCAAACTCGCAGTCGCACTCGCTCGAGCAGTCCTGCCCATAGAGACCCGACGGACAAGATCGATCCTCGCACAGCTCGCCCGTCCATCCGGGTCTGCAAACGCAAGAGCCATCGATGGTGGAGCACGTCCCCTCGTTCTCGCACCGGCATTCGCCGCGACAGGCCCTCCCGAGGTGGCCGGGGGGGCACTGCGTCTCGCACTGCAAGGAAACTGGCATCATGTAGCAGAATCAGCTATGAAGCCCGTGAATTTCGCACGTGTGCAGCGATATAGGACAGATAGAAAGGCTGATACTAAGCATGCATGAAATCGTCGCGTGCCCTCTATGAAGGACCCAACAATGATCAACGCTTTCTCTCTCGAACAGTTCACATAATTTGCTCCTCTTCGTGAGCGAATGCGTGAAGCACGCGAACTTCAAACTGATCTAGAGCAAACGAGAGCAAACCTTCTTTCCTTTGTAACCGGTGGGACAACTGCAGCGGCCATGGATCATGTTGCAAGTGCCGCCATTCCGACAATCGCAGTGATTCTGGCATCCCTTTCCCCAACTGCCGCTTGGGCATGGCTTTTCGCAATTCTTTCCCTTGATGATCGGAAAAAATGCAACTGGATGAAAGAACTTTAGCTAAAAATATATATATATCATCTGAAAAACCATACCATCCATCCAGCGCGACAGTCGCACGCCCCGTTAATCGGGTCGCAACCCCCATTCTCACAAGTACAGTTGTTCTTGCATCTGGATCCCCAACGCTTCTTCGGGCATGGACTGCTGCAACTTTTCCCCTGTGCAAAGTAATGTACTTGATCATATGAACAGGGAATGTACTTTTAGCAGATTCTCGGTGCGGAGATCCAGCACGATGTGAAGTTTAGTTATCGTTAGTTAATTGTCGGTAAAATTCTTAAAAAGCTAAATTGCTTTTTTCCGTTGAATCCCCATTGCCACCATGAGGCATCCCGCCGGACGTAAAAATCCTAGGAAAACGCTGGAGAAAGAGCGAATGGAGGCAGCCTACCCTCCATCCGTCGTCGCACTTGCACTCGTTGGGCTTCGCGCAGACTCCATGCTCACACGGCGTCTTGCAGATGGGCTCGCACTCCTCCTTGTCGTTCGCCGCGTATCCCCTGCAGCACACTTTGATGCGAACCGATTGCCCACCGCCCTGCATGGATGGAGGTATCCCTTAGGTTGGAGGTGAGGCATCGAAATCGGGTTTTGGTGTCACGTACCTTTTCGCCTGGGCTGGACTCCGGAAGTGAATGCGTGTCGGTGCCATACCTGGAGGAGATTCGAGGAACGGAACGACTCAATACCGAAATCGTTGCAATTGCGAAAAATATGGAGAAAGGTGAAAGAAATCGGAATTACGGCTTCTCTACGATGCAGACGTGGTCCCCTTTCAACGCTGTCGTGCGCTGTATAAGGACGATGACAAACGGGAGAAGGAATCGGGCCAATCTTGGCATTTTCATCGTCTTCCTTTGCGGAAACTCGGCTTTCGTGAATCACTGACACTGCAGTCGGCGTCTGCCCAGTCATTCAGCGAAGGAATAATCAGTGCATTTTTAGCATATTGAACTGGGGGTGAGCACTATCAGGAACTGCAGCCACAATTTAATAATTGCAATGCCATCAAGAAATCGAAACAATTGGAGACTCGAGCCTTTTTATTTCAGGAAAACTCATGAATAAAAAAAAATGGGTGAATTTTTTTTCTTTAGATTTTTTTCCGCGAAGAGGGGTCGTTGAATGGTAACATAACAAATGTATTTATGGTACCAAATTTGGTTTGGAGCGGGTCTCGACCTACTCGAAAAGGCGAAGTAGCACTCCAACTCGACTGGTTCAAGTTTCAAGGCTTGGAGGACTTTCAACCATTACGCATCCAGCAATGGCTTGTCGATGCGTTCGGCTTCTCGGCCGCCAAAACCACGGAATGAAGTGGAATCAGGTTCGCAGCGTATGTTATAAGTGCAGACAGCTAGCCTTCGAATTTCGCATCGGCGAATTGGAACTCGTTTGATCGGGGAATCATTTCTCGGACGAACTGACCTTTTCTAAGCCTGGTCATAGTCGTGGAAAGAACTAGTGAATTAGGCTATGGGAAATAGAGGGTTCTTACTTACTTTTACCTACTTCGCCGGTTGTACGTCGCCGAGAAAAGCGAGGACGAGACGGTAAGGCCGTTCGCACTCGGGGAAAGCGTCCAGACTGGGGCTCCCGCTCGCGAGCCGGGTCGGATGTAGGGCCGCGGCGGGGCGTATCGGAGGAAGCGCGTCGGGGCCTCTCGGAAGGGAAATGAGCAATGGAGGCGCATCACGCGTTTTCCGGCTTGTTTTCCTCGGAAAATAAAGGGGGAAGACGAAGTGAAGACGGAAGGGGTTTCATTGATATTGCATCATCAAAGCGAGAAAAAACTGTCTGTTTCATTCGTCAATGGGGAAGACCGGTCTTCCCATCCGCGAGGAAGCGACCGTTCCATGTTCCATCGGTTTCGTCTCCTTTGAGCCCAAAAGAACTCGCTGCAAATATGTGTCTGTCGATTGGCAATTTTGGACCATTAAAAATGTATTCACTCTTCGAGATTCCAGCGGCTCAAGACCCTGGCAGAAGGCATTAAGAAACCTCATATCCAGCAGCAAAAGAGACGAAGGCCATTCCTTCCTATTTAAAGACTCAATTCAAGCATCCATTACTCCATTTCTTTCGCACTTTCTCCCGGGCCACGACTCTCCCGAAATCACACAATTTTCAACTCACCGTGAGGCCCTTCCCGTCGTCCTCACGTGGAACTAAGGCAGATGGAGCCGAGGACGAGGGCGACCCACGCGCCGAGGAGGACGAACGGCCCCACCCAGGAGGTCCCGCGAGGGCCGGACGCTCGCATTCGTCGAGCTGGTTCCGGAAGTACCCGTCACAGCAGACCTCGACGAGTCGCGACACCATCATTTTCTGCACGAAAGGTTTGCAGAAAAAACTCATTGCAGAACGTCGATGGAAATACTCGTCGACTGCACGACAAGGGAGAAACGTGCGAGAAGAGTAACCTACATATCCAGTCGTTTGAGTCCTTATCTACCTGTATGCCCAACTACGGGACTTTGTATGCATGTGGTCCACCCATTCACAATGATACGTTCCCGACTCACGACTCAAAAGTATTCGGTTAATGGCGCTCACATTCCCGGAACGTTTGAACTAAAGTCAGACGACAACGAACCCAAGGGGAACGGTTTTCATCTTTCCCCTCTTCTCTTCTCACCTTCACACTTATGGACCGGTGGAAGTATAATTATGTCGTTCAAATGGCAATCGATATTTCCGGAAATGCGTTAGTGTTTCGGAATAGAGAGGTGCAAAGAGACGGTTAGCAATATTAAAAGGCAATGATCATTTGCACAAACTTTTCTCTGAAGAGAAGACAAAAGAATATGTCACGTTGTCCATGAAGTATCTGGTGATCTCATTACCAAGGAGGTCGCTATTCCCGAGGCACTTAGCATGTCCCCGGCACGACGGCGTCATTATCGAGTAGTCCCCACTCGTTTTCGATGAAGTGTTCGAAAGATCTGCGTCTTCTAAGACGGTTCGCCGACTGCCGGGGATGGTTGGTGCCTCGATCGCCGCGATGGGGGCACTTAGTGCTCAGTTTCACAATGACTCGCCGTAAGGTCCCTCATTGTTACCAATTAAAGTTCACAGGTAGATCCCTCGAACGCCCGTGTGTCCGAAAAGGCGTAGAAATGAGGTCGTACGGACCTCATCAAATCCTTTTCAGGAGACGCTGGATGGGCTCGCATTCATACCTGTTTGGCTTCTGTACACTTTCGACGAACGTATTTTACGACTATACGTTTGCAAGTCGTAAAGCATAAAATATGTACCTATTAGTACGTTTCTCCATTGCCGTGCGACAACGTGTTGGAATATGCATATTTCTTCTACATTCTTCCATTCTTTGATTGCTAGCCAAGAAAATTTCGCGATTTTTTTTGCCCTTTACAAATGTAAACTTTCGCTGATTCGACCACTGGCATCCCATCGAAATTCGCACTTCAATGGTTTAAAAATGACTCGAAAAGGGAAAATCACCGTGGAACTCACTTTGGTCCTGTAAGACCTCTTGTAAGACCAGTCGTGAGTTCCACCCCGTTCCCCGACTTTGTACGGCTGCAAGTACGACTCTTTCACCGTCTCGAAATGCCTGAAAGAGGTCAAGAACGCGGGAAAAAAACACTTGGACCGACCAGGAAAAGCGATAAATCTCGCTTACGAGATCTTCTTGGTGCAAACGTGTGGCCCCTTCAGCGCCGCGGCGCGATTCACCAGCAGGCAGAACGTGAGAACTTTCTTCCTCGAAATTCTCATATTTCATGCCTCACGTCCCCTTCGCCGTCAGCATCTTTCTGTCTATGAAAAATACTAGAATTTCGATTAAGCAGCCACCCACAAATGCAGAATCGACAACTGCATCGATTTGAACGCGTTTACCTCAGCAAGTTGTCCCTTTGTCTTCCCACTGCAGGAAATATGCACTTTCGAGCTTCGCTTCCTTGATCATGAACTTTTTTAAGCATGGGAACTTCCTGGAAACCTCAAGGCATTCTTGTAGTAAATCTATCAGAGTCCCCCCATTGTGAGCTGCATTAAGTACCAACTTACCTTCTTCCCAAAAAACCACTGGCGGAATCTGAATATGAGATAATGGAGGACATGAGGACCGACCAGGAGTGGCCTTGAAGGATATATATGGATATACCTCGTATATGGCTGAGACAGACGGGAGATGATGGGAGCGATATACAATTCGAATAGGTTCGAACTGAGTCATTTGAATTCAGACTGTTCCCCAAGGGTTTTAGGTAATTAGTATTGTTGATATTGTCATGAAATTTGATATATATTAGATTCATCAAAGTGTAAACTACCTCCCAGATCGAGCGCAACTCCACAGGGTCAAAATTATTCTAGCTCAAGCTTCAGTTAAGTAATGTCACCATCCAGTGAAAGGAAAGAGGAAATTGTGGAACAGCCCAAATGGACGAAATATCCAGCCTCGATTCCCAAGATTGCATCTATGCTGGACCAGGCAACGGAACAAACCCGAAAGAGTTTTAAAGATCATCATTCGGGCTCGGGAAATGTGGCTAATGAAATTTGGCTTGACTTCACAGACGCAAGTTGATCCAAGAAACTCAAGACGAAATCACACACGAACTCTGGAAACGCTGGTTACAAAGGGCGAAGTTAAGATACCGGGGGGCAAACCGCAGTAAGCAGCCGTAACCGATGGACTTTTCGAAACCATCGCTCACGCTGCAGGAACGAGAGGACCCACCGCCACGAACGCCCTCCTTCCGCAGGAAGTGACGAACTCAGGAGGAGGAAAGGACTTGACACACCAGGTCCGATTCCTGCAGGATGACTGGAAGAGAGCGGAAGAGGAGGTGACTGTCCTCCACACGACGTATGAGAAAAGCCAAATCCGTATGGTCTATGACTCTGGTATATACGATTTGGCGCAAATGAATAGGAAACATCTCTGGGGAAATATACCCATCATATTCTTCTCTTTCTCAATGTAGGCGAATGAAATTTCCTTGCGCGCTACCCAATTCCATCAAGGTATCTGCGCCTATCATAGCGTTGGAGTCAGGAAAATTTTCGAGCGATGACCCCCGTCCCCCTCCCCGCCCCCACTCTCCCCTTTCCCCCTTCCGCCCTGCCCCCTCCCGCCTCCCCTTTCGCTTGTTCCCACCCCGTCCCCTCCGTCGCCCCTCTCCCCCCATGCTTACCCGCCTTCGTAAATTAATTATCATGGAAGCATCCAAACCAAACATTTAAAAAAAGGGGATAGGGACGGAAATTTTTGGGAACCAAACCTTTGGCAACTGACAACTCGAGGAAATGGAGCATAAAAGTTTACATAGTTATATGCAGCCGAACATTTTGTAAAACCTCGTCCCTTCAACACTAAGGGTAAAACTACTGGACAGATTGTCACAACGAATCGTAACGAATTGATTTTTGGATAACTTTTTAAATTCTGATCTGATTCTGATCATGTTCATATATTTTATAGAGAGTTTCGAGAGATTTTTCTGACACCTATTTGAGCGCAAACGGTCAACAATAAATGAACTTACAGCAATCCTAGCAGACACAACTTTTTCGCGCCGCTGCTCTCATTTTTCGGCCGCCTGATTGCGTTTGCTAATGTGCGCTAATTGCGTGACTGTACCGTCTTGAGTTAAGAGGTATGGAATACGTTTTGGAAAAGAGCCAACAACGTATATTCCGGGAGGAATTTCGAAATGGGAGTTGCCCAAGTCAGTCAGCGATGAGTTATATCTCGTGAAGCCATTGAGTGGCAATCTCGATATTGGTATCGTCAGAAATGGCATACCATGCACTTTTAAATAAAATATTGGAACAAAGAATTCCCAAGGTGGCAAGTGTCGATATTGGCCACTGAACTTGATCAAACTGTTTGATAGAGTGGAACTTATTGTTTCAATTTAGGAGGATAATATTTGGACACAATTTAAAGAGGGCAATCTCACGATTAAAATGACACCAAAATGAAGCTTATATCTGAACTAGAGGGGTAATTATTGCAGAAACAGTAGCTGTCAGTCCGTACTGGCCCTGGGAGAGAAAATAAGGTCAAATTAAAATGCATACATATGGAGATCTGTGAGAGATAAAAAAAATTGGCTGAAATTATATTCTTTAAATCGATTCCTCTACGTGTATGGCGATTTTTGTCAAAATCCATGATGGTCTAGCTTTCTCACTGGTCGATTTGGCGTGGAATGAGCGTCATAAATTGTCCAATCGCATGCAACTACCTTGCAAAACGTTCATTTTTTATATGAGCACTACACTGATGAACAAGTCAGAAGTTTTCGGCTATTCCATATATCCTTCAATAGTTCGCACTATTTTAAAAATTCTCTCGAAGAAAATCCTCAGTCTGTTAAAGGAAATATTATAAAATACTTTATTACCCCAATGGTTACATCCCTTGAAATGGACCCCATTACCGTTGGCTGAAATTTCGCAAGCTGATGGCATACTTCCTGCATTGAATTCATAAATTCTTATTAGATTGAATCATTAAACCAACGCAATTCCATACGGCAGCAATAATACCGAAATCGGCATTTTTCAATGAAGTGACGGGAAAGATCTGAAGGATTTCTTAAATGGAGACGGATAGTCAGGGATTTGCAATCATGCTTCAAGTTGCAACGTCTGTTTTTCATGTGATCAGTTGTTTCGGCTGGAGATATTCATTTGCGAATAGATAATTTTGCGGTAGAAGAGTTTCAGTCGCAAAAGTAAAAAAACGAAGGTTGTCGAGCAATGTCATGAAAGCCCTCGTTAATCGAACTGCAAGAATGTTTCCGCTCAGAAGGAACCACTTCACTAGTGGCAAAGCTGAATTCCCGCCAGCCGATTCGATTCCATCGTCGACGATCGAAGCAGGGCGACGAATGTCGAAGACGTTCGAACCGCAGTTATTCCTTCCACGAGAGGAAGCCCTTATCGCTGTCATCCGCATTTCTCCATTGATATTGAAGTTAATGTGGTCTGCTGACTTCCCCATCCTCCAGTTTGATTTCTCTGGAAAGGAACTGACCTATCAAAATGTAATTCGTTCCGACCTCACTTTTTAGTATTTTTCCCAGACAAGCTTATTTTCAAAATCATAGATATTCGCACTGACTTCTGAAGGGCACCGAACATCGTGTGGCCATATTGAACATATTCCGAGCCATGCTCTCGCTCCTTTTCCTTCATAGGCTTGAGTCTACCATACATTTCAGTCGCGAGGCTGATCGAGCCAATGGATCGTTGGCTGTGGCACTGACGGACGGACTTAAGCCGTGGTTGCCTCTGAGGCATTAGGTACAGTCTAACTGTTTAATTCCATAGGCCGTAGCACCTGGCAGTAGAAATTTTCTGGGTAGGGTTTGTTTGGTCAGACTTGCGGCCTCAAACCCCTGACGACGCAGGCTGCCTGACAAATTTCTGGGATAGGATCCTTCGCTGTTCCTTCCTTTAGCCTTGCCCCATACCTGCAGGCTGCCTCTAATAATACGGACTCTCATATCTAAGTCCCACGCTTCTGGGTCCAAATGTTGGGCATTTTCTGTTGTCCTTGGGTGGTTTCAAACAATTTCAGCACTAAATAACTTCTCTTAATCTCCCCCCTCTCTCTCCCTCTCTCTCTCTCTATATATATATATACAGTATATATACAGTATACTGTATATATTAGCCCTTCAAGCCGGTAATTTCTCTGTAAGCAATCCACACTTTGGCGTAAGTCACTTCCTGAGATTTAACTATGCGCCACATACACGAAGGAAAAACTTCACAACTTATTATTCCTCATCCTCTAATTTATTACACCTTGTGGCATTCACTCATTGGAACCAGAGTACGAGTGGATAGAGTACGCACTCGGGATGTGTAATTATGTATAGAATGATTTATAATACACGTATTTACACGTAGAATACGTATACACGTAGAATACACGTATTTACTGTTATTCTCTCTGCTTTTCGCGAGACTGGGATATCTATATCTGGCCTGTTATAGAGTCTATGTCGAGATGAGTGGGGAATCTCTAATTTCGATACAAAATGGGTCGAGATCACGCTGATAATTCACGGAATGCTTCAGTATCCAGGTGAAGCACGCTCATCTTTCCACATGCGCCATTTGATAGGCGCATGCGCACTGGACGTTAGGACATTGTTGATACCTGTCTCTTTTCAGCATTGAATCAATATTGACTTAATGTGGGGGTGAATGTTCTTCAACATTGTATATGTTGAAACGTCAATGCTGTCACAACGTCGTATCAATATTGCTGCGCGGACTGGAAACGCAGAGGAAAACGATCACCGGTTTTCATCCAAATTCGTGTCAGGTACTTATGCAATCGTCTCCGTGGGAAAGCGCATTGAGATCCCTTTATTAATTTGGACTCACTATACTTCTCATTTGGCAGGCAATGAGAAAGACTCGACCAACGGAAGGGGGGTATAGGTCACTTTTTTTTTTAGAACACCTTCCCACTTGATATGCTTCCCCTTCATTATCGCTTCACATGTGGCACGAAATCGCAACATTGAAGTTCTCCTCAAAAATTTCCTGTAACAATAAAGTTGACATTTTACTTTCGGCTGGTTTTCTATATTTTACCCCACTATACACGAACATATGTCTAGTATCAGCATAGTAGGATTCGGGAACTCTGTCACGTCGCCCTTCGTCTCGGAGAAAGGACTCATTGCTTATTCTGAGAGTAAGAATACTTCTTTCTCCTGCTATGGATGAGAGTAGCTCTTTGCCCTCGCACTAGATCACAAATTTATGGACATTCTTGTCAAATAGGAAAGGAACAAAGTTTTATAACCACAAGTCAGCATTTTCTCTTTTTTTCCAACCAACTAATGAGCAGTTACAACTGAGGGGAAATACCATCTAAACAAGAAATTGATAATGTCACAGATGCTTTCCTTTCTACTCCTCCCTTCAATTCTGCTATCGACGAAAGAAAACGATATTTTCCCGATCAGCCACCCGCATTCTTCTCCTGTAGTAAGCGCCTGAAAGGAGAAGATGATACGTTTTATTTTGTCGACACGTACTCATGCAAAAAATATTTCATGAAACAATATACATTATAGGAAATCTAGTTTAATTGATTTGACGTTAATGCAGTCTCAGTAATTCGCTTCATTAGCAAATATCTTAATTTTGAATAGTCTCCCTCGATTTTCTGACTCCCCAGTTTCACACGAAGAGTATTAGCCGGTCATAGATATCGGTGGAAGGGCATGAGGAGCCCAACATCATTACTCAAAATCTCAATACGGCCACTAACCTACCACTAATTCATGGATCTTGAGATGCATGCCTGATGTTGCAAGTACTTACGAATTAACAGCATTATTCTGGACTTGAATTATCAGCTTCATGTCTTTCCCCGCTCCTTTTCCAGGTTTCATGGTTTTCAAAGTCTGTTATATGTGCTATCGTGCTGCACGAAATACAAGATCTTGACTAGCAATTCCCTCGCATGAACGAAGAGGAATTTCTTACGAATGGGTACTGTTGCTAATTATTAACCATCGAAATCTCTGCTGATGTACTCACTATGAGGTGCATTGTACACCCGATGAAGTCTTCGTTCTATCCAGAACAAGAGGCCAGCCAGTACCAGGATGGAGAAAAGCGCCACCGCAATGCCAGCGATCAATCCCAGGCTGGTCGAGTCGAGGATCTCAACTGGCCTGGAATTACGTTTTTGCTTGTCCGAGAGAACTTCGCAATTGTCACCTGTCGGTGGGAGTCGAGAAACAATTCCCGTCGTCATCGCAAGGTAGAACAGGGAAGAGACGGGTAATTCTTCAATGAAAAAATTTTCTTTTTCGCGGTTCCATTTCCTCTTTAGAATTTAGGACATATAAATCCCTAGATATAAAAAATTATCCCATCAATAACCGGGTGAAAATGATGACTTCAATCAGCAGCAAGGACTTTCCTCACCTCGAAGAGAAATTCTTCGTATTTCATATGAACCAGCATTGAAACGGCATTTTCTAATTTGTGACACGACAAATTCAGATCCGGTACCGGATATAAATATCTCTCAATTCGTACTCAGCATGCTTCTTTTTTTTCTCATATAGGATGGCGCGACCAGGCACCGACACTGATGTGTTGCCTTATCCACCGTCTCCAAGGAATGCCACGCTGAATTGCAACGCGTTGCCATTATTTAATATTCTTCCATTCGCCCCGCGACCTGCTGTAATTGTCTCTTTTCGCACCAATAGAGCCGATTTTTGCAAAAGAGATTTTGTGCGACTCTCTACATTTCATAGTTGAGGACGAGGTTTGCTTGGAGGGCACGAGTGTCAAGAAGGGGGGAAGAAGACGCGCGGAAAGGGTGAGATTCCACATTCATCAGTGCGAAAGAGAGATGGGTGGGATGACTAGTATCCCATTGGGAATTTAATTTGCAAAATTAAGAATCGTGCGCTCCATCCTACCTGGTTCACAGATGCATTTTCCGTCTTCGTGCGAACAGGTGGCATTGTTTTTGCAGTTGCATTTCAAGGCGCAATTCTTGCCATATCTTCCCTTTCTGCACTTCCCTCCGCAAAGCGGACCTCTGTATCCTGCAAAAATCAGGAAGAAGGATAAGATAAATAACACGAAATGAAATCCATATGGAGAATGAACGGAACGAAACATTTCTCGTGGACTCACCTGGACGACAGGTACAACTCCCATCGATGTGATCGCAGGAGGCGTTATTCCTACACGGACAGACGCTCTCGCAATTTCTGCCAAAAGTGTTATTCGCACAAGGACTGGAGCACCTGAGGTCGACCCACCCGGGCTTGCACTCACACTCACCGGTCCACGGGTGGCAAGCCTCGGTGTTGTCGAACTCGCAGTCGCACTTGCTCGAGCAGTTCTGCCCATAGAGACCTGGCGGACAAGATCGATCCTCGCACAGCTCGCCCGTCCATCCCGGTCTGCAAATGCAAGTGCCATGGACGGGGGAACACGTCCCCTCGTTCTCGCACCGGCATTCGCCGCGACAGGCCCTCCCGAGGTGGCCGGGGGGGCACTGAGTCTCGCACTGCAAGGAAACCGGCATCTTCCAGCAGAATCAGCTGGGAGGCCTCTGAAATTCGCACGTGTGCAGTGAGACAGGACAATGAGAAAGGGTGATGCCCAACATGGGTGATGCCCAGCATCATGTGCATCATGAAGGACTCATCTTTAACAAACGCGTTCTCTCTCGATAAGTCACATGATTTGCTCCTCTTCGAGAGCGAATGCGTGAAGCATGCGAACTTCAAACTGATCGAGAGCAAACGAGAGCAAACCTTCTTTCCCTTGTAACCGGTGGGACAACTGCATTGGCCATGGAATATGTTGCAAGTGCCGCCATTCCGACAATCGCAGTGATTCTGGCATCCCTTTCCCCAACTGTCGCTTGGACACGGCGTTTCACAATTCCTACCCTAGATGATCGGAATAAAATGCAACTTCATAAAGGAACTTCGGGAAATTTATAAATTATCTGGGAGAACATACCATCCAGCCAGCGCGACAGTCGCACGACCCGTTAACCGGGTCGCAACGCCCATTTTCACAAGTACAGTTGTTCCGGCATCCTGATCCCCAACGCTTCTTCGAGCATTGACTGCTGCAATTTTTCCTCTGTGAACAGTGATACCGTCACATGAACCGGGAATGTATTGAATACTTTTAGTAGGTTTTCGGTGCGGAGATCCAGCACGACAGGAAGTTTTATAATCGTTATTTCGTAAATTGTCGGGGCTATTCTTGAAAAATGTTCTTTTCGCCGGGTGAAAAAATCCCACGAAACAGCACGAAAGAGCGAATGGAGGCAGCCTACCCTCCATCCGTCGTCGCATTTGCACGTGTTGGGTCTCTCGCAGACCCCATGCTCGCAAGGCGTCTCGCAGTGGGGTTTGCACTCCTCCTTCTCGTTCGCCACATATCCCCTGCAGCACTCTTGGACGCGAACCGACTGCCCGCGGCCCTGCATGGAAGGAAAGGATCACGTTGAGGTTGGAGGTGAGGCATCGAAATCGAGTTTTGGTCTCACGCACCTTTTCGCCTGGGCTGGGCTCAGGAAATGAATGCGTGTCGGGGCCATACCTGGAGAAGATGCGAGGAACAGAACGACTCAATACCAAAACCGTTGCCGTGATCAAAAGTAGGGTGCAACGGAAATAAATTTGCATTACGGCTTCTCTACGATGCAGACGTTGTCCCCTTTCAACGCTGTCGTGCGATGTATAAGGACGAAGACAAACGGGAGAAGGAATCGGGCCAATCTTGGCATTTTCATCGTCTTCCTTTGAGAAACTCGACTTAGGTGAATCACTGACACTGCAGTCAGCGTCTGCCCTCTTAAGCAGCGGAAGAATGCATTTCAATGAATTTTATCACATTGAACAGGAACTATCAGGAATTGCAGCCACAATAACGATGCCTAAATAAGTAATTACAATGGCATGATTAATTTCATGAAAGTGGAACCGCGAGTCGTTTCATTTCAAGTTGAACTCATTAAATCAAAAAGAAAATCACAGGAATATTTTAAAAGATTTCTTCCCCGATGTGGGGTCGCTGAATGGTAACATAACAAATGTACTTTTGGTACTAAATTTGGTTTGGGGCGGGTCTCGACCAACTCGAAGAGAAGAAATGGCACTCGAACTCGACCGGTTGAAGTTTTAAGGCTTGGAGGAACTTTTTGCCATTACCTTTCCGGCTATGGCTTGTCGTTGCGATTCGGCCTCTCGGCCCCAGGAAGCACGGAATGACGTGGAATCAGGTTCGCAGCGCATGTTTGAAGTGGAGACGGCTAGCCTGCGGATTTCGCATTGGCGGATTGGATCTCGTTCGATCGGGTGTCATTTCTCGGACAAACGGACCTTTTTCAGGGCTGGTCAAGGTCATGGATGGAACCAGGGAACTAGGCTATGGATAGAGGATCTTCAATTACTTTTGCCTGCTTCGCTGATACGTCCAACGCCCCTTCTTTTGCTCCTGCTCTTCCGGCAAGCGTGAGCTCTTTGCGGAAGTCTGACCCCGAGGGCGAGCGCTCGGAGTAGCCTACATCCCGGCCCCGCCCCGCATAGCCTCCTTCGCTGTCGGGGGCCTCTCGGGAGGGAAATGAGCAACGGATGCGCATCACGCGTTTTCCGGCTCGTTTTCCCCGGAAAAGAAAGGGGGAAGACGAAAGGGGGGTTCTTGTATGTATGTATTTCTCCAAGTACACGAAAGTGCCCTCTTTATCCATCAATCTACGTACATAACGAGCGGCACATGTCTGCATGACAGGATTTTGTCCTGTGAACTCCTTCTGGGCTTCTCTACCGATTTCCACTGTCGATATCTCATTCGATTTGTAATTTCCTGCAGAGGGTCCAACTCATTTTAGTTTTTTTTTAATGTTGACCTTTGACCCGGATGACCTTTCGCATTAATTTTGAACCCAAATTCCTTTTGTGATATATCATTCGAAAGGCCTGAATTTCCTCTGTTAGAATTCGTTTTTATATAGCAAAACTGTTGAAATTTGATCATGCTGTGGTCAATCTGAATTGAGAGTGCACTGGCGCCATTTCTGTACGGTCTAGGTAACTGTTACCGTATAGCACCAATTTTTCTCCGCTTGACTTCTCATCGAAGCTCTGACTTCGTAGAGAAGTGTTCGTCGTTCTCATCACCCGCGGAAATACAAACATATCGGCTATCGGCATTAACAACGTTTTATTTACATTTTTTCCTGACTTTTCCTCAAGGAGCAGATAATAAGAAAGGAAGAAAAGATCCCATAGCAACTTATAACACTAAGCCAGGCTGAATGCGATGAGAAACCTAGACCCATTGCAAGTAAGGGTGCCACGGATGCTCTACTCGTTCAGCCCAATAACGTTGTGCCAACATTGACAAAAAGTTGAAGCGTTGAGACCGTACTGAAGAAATGAGTTGCATCATTCAAGCACTAAACTCCAGTTCTGATCCGGTTAAGGAAGTTACTCGAAAGGACCCTTCCCTGGTATTATTGCACTCGTTAGAGTAATTTCAAGTTCTCATCGATATTAGTACGCGCATAGGCTCAGAAAAAGGAAGGAGGCAATGCCCACACCTTGACGAGTCACATAATTGGCACAACGTGACACATGATCCTATTTTCAACGTTGAACTGCTTTTCATTTCAACATTGCGGCAACATTGATTCCAACTTTTACACATCGTTGTGGAAGCATCGCTAAGTTTTGCGTGCATGTTGTGCATGCTCATGTCTGCCTGTGTGCGTATTACGAGTAGTTTCGTCTCTCTGGGCTTTTCCAGACGTATCAACATTTTTAAACCTAATTGTCCAGTGTTTTCCAAAAGGTATATATTTCTTTGAGTTGAGGTTGAATTTGAGAATTTAACGAAGAATCCGAATAAATCAATTAAATGCTAGCTGTTCGTAATCAACCGAACCCTCAACGCATTGAGGCTGCACATGGATTTATGGAAGTCCTTTAGAAGCTATTAGGTACAAATTCATTTTTTTTCACATTTGCTTTCGTCATGGTCTCAATATTGTTTTGAAATGGAGTTATCCAAATCATCTCAAATGATTATAGGTTCTATAAATCGGCGCGAGATGACGCCAAATCGCCAATTTAGCGATTCTAACCCTGATGATACAGTTCAGGGGGGTTTTTCGTACAGTACGCGATCTGTTCCCAAGTACAACTTGAGAGAAGGCTTTGGAATTCCTCTCGAGACCCTTCGAAGGAGGTAATCCGGCAGATGGAGACTCCAGGAATTTCTGGCCAGAAGGTCCGAAAACGCATGGCAATTTACCCACCTCACTTCACAGTGCACTAAATGACTCCGGCTCTGATATCTCTTTCGTATCTCTTTCGAGAATTGCAGTATGTTAACCGGCCTGCGAGGGTGTCTTTTACTTTCCTTCTGCATGGGAGATGGGATTGGGGGTGATGCCAGGCATGTATCTCCCTTGCTGGACAGAATGAATTACGTTGCTCAAGTATTACACTCGAGTTTTGATCCAGTTAGGAAAGTACGACCTCAGAAGGACCCTTCCGTGGAATAACAACACTCATTACTCTCGATTTCTATTCAATATTAGTGCACGTGAAGGCTAAAAAAAAGGTGAAAACACGTGAGACCAGGTCAGGCTAAATGTGATGTTATTCTAGACCAGGGGTGCAGAACTTAATCTGGCAGAGATCAAATGATTTGGTTCAGATGTGTTTGGGGGCCTCACTAACGAATCTCACAACACATATACCAAATTTTTCATGCGAACAAGTGAAATTAGCTGCAAATTTCCGAAATCAACTGTTAAAGTGGAATTCACGGGCCGGAGAAAATGAATTGGC